AACAAATAATCTACGCCAAAAAGCTTGTTGTATCTGTTGACCAGTAAAGATATATTCAAATATCGTTTTCCCATATTTTTACAAAATTTGTTTCTCTGGATCGTTGTTATGGTTTTAGAGTTCAAGGTCTCTCTTAAGGTATTGATCTGTATATTCAGTAAAGTAGAGTAATAGATTAAAAACAAATATAGTGTACCCAATTGATAGTTGACTATGTCTCTGTAAGCGAGTATCAAGCCAGTAGTAAAATCATAACTACTCCAATTATTATACCAATTGAAACTTATATAGAGACAGAAAAAAATGTTCATTCCAATTATCTCTTTCTTAAAGTCAATTTGCATGTTAATCATTCGCTTTTCCGTAAATTCCATCAAATCACTCCTATACACAAAGTTATTTTTAATTATACAACCTAAAATACTTAACGTGTTCGAAATAACGTTTAAGAAGAACATTAAATAAATCGTCCATGTTGTATACTTCATTGTGTAAACATATTTTTGATACTCGGTCAATACGAACATTACCAATTTCACGATCACCACGCAAATTGGATAAGCCTTACTAAAATTCTCTATAGGAAGGATTCCGAAGACTTTGCATATATTGTGAAGGAATATTGAAGATTTGTTTCTCTCAACCTTTGCCATTTCTCTTACTTCTGCTACACTTTCTTGAAAACCGGTGTGGCACGACTGCAAGACGTTATTATATAACATTTAGTAGAGTTGTTCCGTTTGCATTGTTCGAGTTTTCATATTTTTTCATAAATAATTTCGTATTGTTTGTTTGCGTCGATTATAGGATTAATACTTTTCATATAATGGACAAAAAAATGTGCTCATAATAGACAGTCGATTAAGTGAATAAGACAATGTTAAGAAACATTACGTTATATTGATTGATAATGAAATGAGGTGTATTTATATTTGATGTTATGCACAGCGGTGATGTTTTTATTATACTCTTCAAAGGTTATTAATAATTTTAAATTCTATACGTTTTCGTGCTGAATAAAATAAGTACATGTAATTTATTTACGTTATTCACATAATTGTATCAAAAAATATATTAAATATTAAACATAACTGAGATATTTGAGTAGTATATAAATTCAAATAATTGAAAATATCAATATTTCTTTATCAATTTCCACATTTGATTATTACGTGAAACAATGTCAAATGATGTCGATTAAGATCAACAAATGTCATAATGATTTGATGCAACGTCACTATAAAGTCGATTACTTCACAATGATGTTAATCAACGTCAAAATACGATTAATGAAAAATAAATGCACATATGATAAAAATATAATTGAGTTCAATTTTCTGTAACAAATGCGTCACATAATATAGATAAATTAGAAAATAATCATAAAAATAAATATAAGAATTTTATATTTCAAAATATAAAGATAGAATGATGACATTACTATTAGATGTCGTAAATAAGTAAAAATGTAAAAAAAAATATTATTCTATCCTAATGTTATTAATCAAATAAAGATGATCATAATTATATTATAATGTAATCAAAAGTTGTAGCTTAATCCAAAAAGTATTATTGATTGAACTGTATGAGAACAATGAAATACGTTGCGACTGTTGATAGTTCACTTAAATAATGTTTGATGCTGAGACTTGAAGAGGAGAGCTGACAATTTTGTTGACAAATTCCATTAGTTGCCATAGTTTATTTTCTCCAAGTATTCAAATTGAAACATTTCGTAGTAATTTAATTAAAAGAATTGAAATTTTAATTTCCACATTTGACAATTACGTCATACAATATCACAATGACATTGATTAAAATCATCAAATATCGCAACGATTTTGTTTAACATCACAAATTTAGACGTCACAAACATCAAAATGAAACTATTATTCTATCTTAATTTGATTGGTTAAATATAAAGATGATCATAATTATAACATAAACTGATCAAAAGTTGTAGTCTAATCTAAAAAGTATTATTGATTCAACTGTATGAGAACAATGAAATACGTTGCGACCGTTGTTAGAATAGAAGTAACCATACTGAAGTTCACTACAGTAATGTTTAATGCGGACACTTGAGGAGGAGAATTGATAATATTGTTGGCAAATTCCATTAGTTTGACTCTAGTGTCCTCGTTAATTTCCTCTACATATACAAATTGCTTACATTTATTTGCAATTTCCAAGCAGTTCTGGGTAATATCATCGCATGGTTTTATCATAATCCACATGTATATCTGAAATGCAACTCTTTAGGTAAATTGAAATTTGTTTCAAATATGTACTTACAACAGGAAAGAGAAACCAGATTATTCCCCAAATGATGAAACTGCTACTCCTGTTCGTCATTGTGACAATAGCAAGTTTGTATAGAAGATTCAGAGGTGTCAGAAAATTGATCACCAAATTGACGTAGAGACACATGTAATCTACGCCAAAGAGTTTGTTGTATCTGTTGATTAGCAAAGATATATTCAAATATTGCTTTCCCATATTTTTAGTAAATTTGTCCATCTGGATCGTAGTTATGGTTTGAGAGTTCAAGGTCTCACTTAAGGTCTTAATCTGTGAATTCAGTAAAGTGGGGTAATAGGTTAAAAACAAGTATAGAGTACCTATTTGATAGTTGACTACGTCTCTGTAAGCAAGTATCAAACCAGAAGTAAAATCGTAAGTGCTCCAAATGTTATACCAATTGGAACAGGCGTAGAGAATGAATAAAATATGCATGACGATCATCTCTTTCTTAAAGTCGATCTGTGTGTTAATCGTGCACTTTTCTGTAAACTCTATCAAATCATTCCTGTACACAAAGTTATTTTTGATGATGCAACATAGAATACTTGAAGTGGTTAAAATAACTGTTAACAAGGCCATTAAATAAATCGTCCACGAAATATCTTTCATTATGTATACATATTTTTGGTACTCGGTGAATACGAACATTACTAATTCCACGATCACCACAAACATTGGATAAGCTTTGCTGAAGTTTTCTATAGGAAGGATTCCTAAGACTTTGCATAACTTGTGAAGGAATTCTGAAGATTTGTTTCTCTCAACCTTTGCCATTTTCTCTTGCCGTTGCTACACTTTCTTGTAAACCGGTGGCGCACGACTGCTTGCTCGCATGCAAAACGTTATTATATTATTAGTTTAGATATTGCTTTTTAATTGTTCGAGTTTACATAATTTATCATGAGTATTTTCGTATTGATTACGTTTTTTTTTAGAGTTTTACAACTTTTTTTTATATAACTTACACTCAAATGAATGTAGACTCATCATAAAAACTCGATTAAGTTAATAAGACTATGTTAATAAATTATCAGCGACATTACGTTATGTTGACTGACAATGAAATGAGGCATATTAGATGTTATACACACTTGTGAATTTTTATTACTGTGTTCAAAGTTTATTTATATTTCTAAAATCTATAATTTCTCATGCTAAACAAAACAGGTACTCGTAATTTATTAACGTTATCCACGTAACTATATAAAAAATATCCATACTTGATTATAATCTGAATAAACGTTTCACTTACAAATAAAATATTAAATTAAATAAATGCTGATCAACGTGGGGCGCCACACGACAAAACAAATAAAAATCAAACGATTTAAAAGTGATATATAATATTAATATAAGTGAATTGCTAAATATAATTTAATTGTTATCGTTGAACTGTATAAGAATGATGAAATTGCAAATAACGTTGCTGACAAGAGAACAGAAGATTTGGTCATCCACATCGCAAAATCCTCCAGCTGAGAATGTAGGCATAACAAATTGGATTTGCCGCGCGAATTTCAACAAATCTTTAGAATACTTCATATTCATCGAAGCCATCTTATAACAAATCTGCACGGTCTTTGTGGCCTCGTCTATAGCCTCGTTGCAAGGAGTCACCAACATATAAACAAAAACCTGAAAATTGTAAATCATAATATATTCAAACTCGCCCCGACAATAACTCAATTACATAAACGATAATCGTCTGCATTAAACTGGAGATGACGAAGGTGTAATTGACTTCCGTTTCAGAAACTAAGTAATACCAAAACACGTGAAGCGAATTGAGTAAACTGAATAAGTTGTTCAAAAACAACGTTGTATACTGAAGTCCGGCTACATCGCTGTAGCTCACAATGATCTTCATTAGATCTATATACTTGTTGTAGTAACTTTGGACGCTTCTATCCATCTGAGCAAAATGCGTATTAAATTTGACAAGTTTTCGTTTGATCAATGATGTTTGGAAGTGCAGTAGCAAGTGTAGGATCAATATGTAGTAGTAGTTGATCAGTATCAGGATTTCTCCAGCAAGTGACCTCAAACCAAAACTCTTAATTGTTACTACAAAATTGAAAATAGCTTGAAAGAAATGCACTAGATGAGCGGTTAGAATTCTTTTAGTAAAGTTGACTTTTTGTATTCCCAAAACGTGGATCAAATCATTGGCTGCATCCCCTTTAACTATGTTCATCTGGATAATGGCTATGATGTTAGCACTGGTGGATGCACTAGACGACAGTACTGTTATTATTAATAGAGTTGTTGGTATGTTAATATTATTTATCACGTGGTAAATAGTGTAGGAAAATAGAGAAAACAATATTGTTATTAAGAATATTGGATAGATGAAACGAATCTTTGTATTGGGTAAGATACCAATTATTTTACTTATCTTTATAATCATTTTGTAAATTTCGCCTTTACCTCGTCCACATGCAACGATAGAATGATGATTATTTTACATGCACTTAAAGCCTAATGCATTTTTTTTTTCATTTTATTATAATAAAAATTGATTCGATACACTTATAAACTCTTAAACAAAAAAATATGGAAATTACTAGAAAAGTGTTGCAATCTGATAGGCTTGACATAATTTACCTATTTATTAGAAACGTATTATTATAAGATGTATATAAAAGATTCAAGAAAATATTGAATGTAATATAGATAATAAAAAAATATTTGTGGACTTATATTTTAAAAATATGAACATTTGAGAAATTGTTAAATTTGATTATGAATGAACAGATCATTTGTTAAACTGTATGAGTACTATAAGATATGATGTCACTGCTCCAAATAGAGCAAATAATGAGCTAGTATCAATTGTGAAGAATCCAGCTGCAGTAAACGTTGGCGCTTTATTGCAAGCTTGTTCAGCCAATTCGATGATATCATTTCGCGTCTGCTTGAATTGATCATTGGACGGAAGGCTGTGCAATATATCATAACAAATGGTAGCGGTTTTAGCAGCCTCGTTAGCACCTGAACCGCACGCAGAAAACATCCCAGTGCTAATAATCTAAAACAACATTTAATTAACAATTAATAATAATATTATGTATGAAGTCTTACCATTGGAAATGATGCCCAAATCACGCAGAGCGCAATTAATTCCGCACCCAAACGAATCCCATTTACCTCCCTTTCACCATTTCCATAAACCAAAGCCATATTTATCGGAAGCAAAAGATTGAACAAGACGTTTATGTAAAACAGCACAAACTGAAACCCGAAGATCGAGTTGTACTCATCAACCATCCAAGTCAGCTGCGTATAGATCTTGCAAATCCTCTTCAAGTTCAAAACGCTGCGAACGTTCCCAGTCTTTAAATCGCAAATACGAATATTGTACTTGAACTGTCGCAAAATGCTGTTCAAAATCTCGAATCGGTAATATAGCGATAAAGCCCAATAGCGAGTCAACATCGAGAAGATCATGAACTGGTAATTTTGTAAATCCCTTTCGATGAAGTAGATGCTAAAACCAATGAGTTTGTTCCACATGTACATATTCAAAGCCATGTAAATGCAAAAACCTATATGAGAAACAACGAGCTCCAAATAGAATCCGATCATTGGGAGCGTGTTTTTCTTCAGATCTATATTCTTGAAACTCGCGTCGATTTTATTGAAGTGCGATAAAAACACACCAACTACTTTCCCACGATACAAATTACCAGAGAAAATTGAACCGATATTACCAATCAGAAGAATGATTTCCGTTGCGATCAATGTTAGGTAAACTGTAGGATAAAGTATATTTTGTAGCTGGGTGATCTTTCCATGCAAAGAGTAACCCACTGTTACGATAAATTTCAGGAGCATCAGGATTCCGAAGAAGTACTGAGGTCTGCACGTGCTCAGATCATTTATGTCGAATCTAGGAAGCACAGCTAGACACTTGCATAATATGTACAACGGCCGCAGACACTTGATGTCTCTCCTGAAATCTTGCTTCAGCATTCTAATATACACCGAGTTTCTTCACAGTCGCAATACCAAATGAAAGTTGTATGTTAATATTATGAAAACAAAACGAATATTATTTATATATACTTCGAATACGAAGATAATTACGTAACGGTAATTTGTAAATTGTTTGTTCGTACAGTAGAAATAGTGTTTACAAAGAAAAAAACTAAACTATATTTGTCTCGACCGGCAAAGTAATAATTTCAGGAAATTGAATATCATTTGGAGATTAGATGCACGAGCCAAATAACATATATTATTCATGACCAACATGCTACCAAATATTTTTAAACCAAATTAATTAAAAGCCCATTAATATTATTCTTAATTAAACGATCACCAATTATTATTCTAATTTTATGAAGTCGAAAAGAAGACTGCAGTCAATAACCCCATTTGTATACATTTATTATGTGTACTACAAAGGTTACTTTAATATTGTCCTATATGAAATCTTAAAAAATATAAATTATGTCAGTAGAAATTTTCCAGAAAATCGAATTAAGTCAACTTACCTTGTTTCTGCAAAAATAAAGTACGTATTTAGTAATCAGTTTCCATAGCAACTATTGTTTCTATACTACTTCTCAGTTGTTTGTTACCAAAACTCGATCACGTCGCTATAGTAACAGAAAAAAAAAACAAAGTCCTTACTTCATTAATTCTTGTTCATTCTGATCATATTGATGAAGATTTTGAACTGTCAAGCTCTTGAGAGATTTTAAAGACACTATATCGAAAATACTCACAGGATCAATACATTTTGAAACAAAAATAACGGAAAAGAAAATTACAAAAAAAAAATCTTTCAAAACAGGAAAATAATTCAAGGATAAATATTTAAAAAGAAAACAAAAGAGAATTTTGATAATGAAAAAATTTATTTACAAAGAATGAATTAATATATTTTCTGTGTATATAGTATGTATATATATAAACAACTTTCATATTATTTCTTTTAAATAATTATTATTGTAACATTTGGTATATAAGTTAATTTGGATATAGTTTTTTTTTTTTAATTTATAAGTTTTTATTATTTTTTTCCTTTTCTTTATTCACGTATTAATTATGTTTTTTTTTATATGTTCTCCTATAATATAGATTTTCTTCACCTAAACAACATTTATCAAAGTGGAACCATAAACGAGTGAACAACAAAGTTTTCTTCAGAGCAGCAAGAAAATTGAGGAGGAAAAAGGTCGCAAGTTTTTTTTTAAACTACAAAGAACACAAATCAGGAAAAAAATACATTTCTTCATCATCGTCTTCAGTCGAGAAACACATCTGGAAATGAATGCCCACATATATGCACACGCAACAAAGAAAAAAATGATAACACAATCTATCCTCATATATTACAAGAAGTTTTTCAGTACAATTTCATAACATCGTTACAAAAAAAAACACATAAATGCTGAAATAGGAATGCAGTCATATAGATTTATATATATATATTGTTTTTTTTTTACTTTATATATATTCTCGTCTTAAAAGCTACGATGAGGAAACCGAATCTGGAATGGATATAGTTCGAACGAGAGAGTACGGAGACAAACGAAAAATAAAAGGTGTTCGGATAAAAAAAAATGAAAATCAGCGATCGAGGTTAGTAAGTAACTTAAGTAATCCTTCTACGAACTAAAAGAAAAAGAGAAATAAAAGCAAAAAGCGTCATTTGCAAATGTAATAAATGTTTGCGAAACAAAGAATATAAATTAAAAGTACAAATTCGATTTGATTCACTCTCACGTGAGCAAATAACAGTTACCTGATTCTTTAACAAACGAAAGTATTTATTACTCAAAAGTGATTTTAAAAAAAAATATATGAAAGAGAACGAAATATATGCATAAAAAACATGTTACTTTTGATTATACGCTTTACTACAAACAAAAAAATATATATAGAAACAACAGAAAAAATTAAATAAATTAATTTAAAAAGGATGATCGATGATGAAACGAACAGAACAATGCTAATTTTTTTATGTAATCTTATACAGTCGACATAACTTAATATAAATACACCTTAAGTTGTAAGTATTGTAATTAAAAAAAATTAAATAAATATCCAAAAAAAAAATTATTTAAATATAAACAATCATTTCGCGTTCAAGAAATATAGTAATCATATTAATATTATAATAAATAATGTACAGTTTTTTTTTGCTCTTATAACATGTATTATATAATTTAATTTAATATATATAAAAAACGAATTGTAATATTGCTCAACATTGATAAAACAAATAGAATCCGATTCCGAGTATTTCAATAATAAACATATTCAACACCTACTTGGATATCATTACAACTAAAACGAACGAGAACAACTCTTCTTTTTTTTTCAATTACTATTTTGCTCGTCACAAGCATATATTTTTTTTCAAATCCGTCATTGGAAGGTAATATAAACTTAACTAATCAAACGCAACGGCCTTTGTCACATATCTTTCTTTCTTATTTTTTTTTAAATATAAGGAACTTTGAAACTCCAATTGCAACAATACCCAAATAAATGGATACACATCTCTTTCCTACAAGAAGAAGTCTACACACTTTTCTATTTGAAACGTAATAGGGAGCGACAGCAAAAAAAAATGTAATTTGTATAAATCTATATATATAAAAAAAAATAACTGAACTAACATTTACCCTGCTCTCAATAAACATAGAGTAAAATTAAATCACATGTTTTTTTATATAATAATAATAATATTTATATATGTATATGAACAATTTTTAAACATCATCATCATCTTCATGGTCATGGTACACACTGACTTATTACACAATATGTATATATCATATATTTTACTCAATATATATCACTTTGATAAGAAAATAATAAATGTACAGAATACAGAGACAGTTTGACACATGTGCTACGATTCATATTTATATATATATATTTATATAATGTATATGTATATATCACACACATTTTGTAGTATTTTATACAGAAAAATATTTTGCTTTTTTCTTTAATTTACACATCTTAAAGGAAAGAAATTCATAATGGTTTTTCTCTCTTTAATTTTTTATTTTTTGTAATGTTTGATGTAGAACAGTAGTGTGTATTTATAATATATACAAAGATAATTGCTTAGCAAAGATATATTTTCCTTTTTTTTTTCTTTAGTTTTACTCACTGGGGGAGAAAGGAAGAAATCCGATTGGAAATATAGAGAATAGAACTAACCGAATGTTGAATAAATTAAGGGATAAGTCATGAAAAATAATAATGTCCTAAAAATCACGACAGTAGAAGTAGTAGTTGCGAGCATTGAACAATTGTAATTCGTGCACCCATCCAATTAATATTATAAAGTAAAAAATCATTCTTACACCATAATGGGAGTCTCTTCGCATTCGCCGACAACTTTCACAGGCACGTCCGACGAGGTTTGCCTCCTCAGCTTCTGCATGTTGGATTGTCGCGCATCTCCGCCCGATATGGACCTAATGATTGGCCGGTTCAGTCTTCTTGGTTCTGCCACGCACGAGATGTCATCCAAGCTGCCATCACCATCCGTCGACAGCATATCATCATCAGAAGTGGCGTGCGTCAACGTTGGTAGGGTGGATGTCAGGTGCTCCTTCTCCTTCTGGATCTCTTGGATGTGGTTTTCCAGAAGGTTCTCCTCTTCCTCGTTCGACGACACTGGTTGAGGTAACAGCTCGTCCGGGCTGAAGACTTTGGAGCTTCGTAGCGAGGACAATCGATTGGTAGCCGCTTGACAAGCAGTATCCAAGGTGTCTATATCGTCCAACGTGTTGCGAATCTTCTGAAGTTGCTCCGTGATTATAGTCTCTATACACTGGGTCTGGCTACATATGTCTAGTAGGCTGTCCTGTGCCGGAACATCTTTATTGGTACGTAGGATGCATGGCGCGAAAACAATGGCAAGAGACGCAGCACTCATCCTATTTACTTCTTCGTGGAGGGCGACCCGAGCCAAATGGAAAATCAGGCGCTCCATTAAATCATAATTCGCAGTAGGCAGCTTCTTCAAGATCTCGTAGAGCGTTGCGACTCTGTCTTGCGGATTACTTATATTCGCTACAGTTAGGAAGTTTTCATAACACTCGAAAGTCAACAGAGGTTCGGGCATTTCTCGCAGAAAGCACTTTAACACCGAAGCTAAAACATGCACTTGGTAATCGGCAAAATTCACTTCATCCTTGTTCTCCTCCATTTTGAACTTGAGCTCCTTCACTTTGGAGCTGACACCCGGCTTCCTGTAAATCCCTTCAATGTAAAGAAAATACATTTCAATGGTTGCCAGAAGCCGTTCGATGATCACAGGTATCTTGCAATCCTCTGAGAGTAAAACTGACAACGGCACGCCGAATATCTTCTTGGAATCATGCGCTGCTAGTGTAGCGTCCTTCGTGCAATACGTGGACTTCATGTAACATTTCTTGTGGCAGGTCATCTTACACGATTGACAAACTAAACTCTTCTCTAAAGGCCACATGAAGAAAGAACTGCAAATTTCACAGGCGGTCGGAATGTTAATGATTGTCAAAAGGAATGTGTGGCCGGCATGCGTCGTGATCTCCTCGCCCTTCCGCTTCTTATCCTTCTTTTTCTTCGTCTTGCTAGGCTTTTCTGGTTCTCCGCGTGAAGACATGAATTCATTCATGAACCCTCTGAATGCATTCACGCCCATCGTCACCGGGAAATCAGCGTTCTGCTTTTGCTCCCTTTGGCAGACCGTGTCCATAGCTTGCATGAAATTCATTATAAGATCCTTGTACTTCACACTATAAGCTTCGAAGCCAGTTTTATTCGCCGCGCTATAAAACTGGACCAGATTGTCTTTGAATTCACGCAACGCCAGTTTAAATAACCTATCCACCTCGCTCGGCTTCTTACCATCATCTTTTTCAATGCAGCAAATCTTCTTGGTTATAAAGTCCTGCATCTCCTGCAGTTCTTTGGCATCAGAAATAATCTGATCCGTGCTATCAGTAAATTCAGACGTTCGATAATTGAACTTAGTCGTGGTGCTTGCATTATGCTGCTTGTTGATGTCGTAAGGCGTTCGCGAGGTCTTCCTATGTTTCCTTCTGCCCGGTTTACTGCTCTGAACTGTGTTTCCACATGGCGTCTCCAACACTTTCTTGTTCTGTATGCACTTCGGATGGAATACCATTTTGCATTCCGAACATTTGTAGCTATGCGTATAAGATTGATCCATTTTATCGTTGCACGATACGCATTTATCCTCCGGATTGAATTTCTTAATTATCCTAAACTTATGACCAGCAATGGAGAAATCACTGCTAGTCTGCCATTCCATTTTAGTTGCTTGACCTTCTGGATGATCACTAAAACTGCTGACTTTCGTCGCAGGATCAGAGTTGCGTCGCTTGAGATCCAAGCCTATTCCTGATCGAGTTCTCTTCGGTGTCAACGATTTGTTGGACAAGTCGGATTCAGCAATCAGAAGCTTCGAATTATCGGAGTAGTCTTTAAGATCGCGCATTTGTATGTCCGGTGGGTATGTGCCAACAAATTCGTCGATCGTGCCTAAATGAGCAATCTTGTCAAAGGCCGCGCTATCCGTTACTTCTTCTCCTAGACTTTTCACGTGACTCCTCCGATTATTTCTGCTGTTCCGAGAAGGCGGTATCGGGAGGAATCCCAGCATCTGCTTCGCCTTGTCCGGAACATGGTCGTTCTCTTTATCTGGTTTGTGAATGTCTGTACCATCTCTACGTCTGATTGGTGCCAAATTGATAAACCCTTCAGCCTTCTCGCGTTTTCCAGGTAATGCATATGATGATAAGCCTATGGGTAAGGCTCTGGTAACATTTTTATGCGGTGCTTTAACGGGATACGGGCTATCATCGAAACTTGGGTAAGTAGATTGATTATTGCCGCAATGAGGTGGCGCCGACTGTATGTGATGACTTGATATGCTGAATTCTGAATCCGTCTCACTTTTGGTGCTTGTAGATGACCACAGCTCGTGTTTCGAATATGGATTCGAATCACCGCTGCACGGAACGCCTGACTCGCTGAACTGTGATTCATAACTACGAACGGAATTTAAAGAATCTTCGCTACCCTTCTTGGTTTCATAGGTGTAATGGATGTCGGAGAGATCAATTGTCTTATGAGCCTTTGTAACTTTTCTCTTCGTTGTAACCAATTGTTCCTTAGGTTTTACAATCTGTTCTTGATTATTTGCAACCTTATTTTCAATTCTGAAAGCAGAACAAAACAATTTATAATAATCATAAATCAATCATAATAGGAAACAAAAACTTATTTTCAGGCACAAAATATTATGTACATATAATATAAAAGTACCAAATTCTTCAGCTCTGTTTATGTGCAGTTAGTCTTCAAATTAAAACTAGCAACATTGATGATACATTTGCAGTATTATTCCTTTGAAATATGAAAATTTAAAAAATGAAACAATGCTAAAAAAATGGCATACTGCTTACCACAGTGCCGTTATATGGAGGTGTCTTAAATGTACAATCTATCCGTTAACCCCCCCAAATTTGGAAATGGCGGACGTTCAAGGAGCCCTGGATGACCACCGTGCGGCATCAGCCCGAACTGTGGCATCGGCAGGTCCATGGCTCCTGGATCGACCACGTGACGCCACCGACTGAGCAGATCTGCCAAACTAAAGCGATCAATGTTCAGCTGTGCCATCACAGACACACACCTCCGACGGTATATACATGCCCGGGGTATATATACTTCACCCGCAATTTCAACTCATACTTTAGAGCCTAACATAAATTAAAATAATTACGAGATTACCTTCACAAATACTATAAACAAATTCTACAAAAAGTTTACATTAATGTTAAGGTTACATGCTATTTCAGTTAAATAACAAAATTGTTATTTAATTGTTAACAAAAATAGATTTTTTAACAATATCACAGATTATAGTACCATATTCGTCCGCTACAACCACATATTCTTGTATATAAAGTTATCTAACTACACAATGCTGGGGACCACTGCCATATGGAGTTTTACAATATATGAAGACTATGATCGTATGTATCACGAAAATTTGATACAAAAGGTCGTTGGTTCGATTCCCAAAAACCAACAAAATTTGTGGGGGGCGTTAAACCCGAAAGGGGTAGAAATAGGGCCAGAAAGAGATTTATATCATTAAATCGATATAAATCTCTTTAAATTAAAATATATATATGAAGACTAAACTAGGCACTTTTAAATTAAAATTTAACTTGCATTTGTATTTTCAGACAATGAAAAACATGTGATGTGACTAATCAATTCAAGATAATCTAATATAGTATCATAAATCAAAGTTTATAACTAGATTTCATCTTTAAGAAACTACTTATTTGTCTAGACTAGGACTTTCTTTGTAATATACTGACTCGAGATATAATACTCGTAGAAAGCAATTTTAATTCATACCTTTCCAATTCCATAATAACCGCAAGACTTTTAATAATTGTAATTAGACAAACTGTAATCATCCATTGTAACATAAAAATAACGAAACTAACCTGTAAGTAGGATAAACCGTAGAGTTGGAGTTGTACGTGGTCACCGTGGGTAACGAAATAGCGGCTCGAAGTTGTAATTTGTTCCTTCCATTATTCTCAATCTCTCCTCCATCTTCCAATATTCCGCTGCTCCTTAAAAATAACAATGAGCAATTAGATTTTGTTTGTAGGTAAAATATTAAAAATACGTACTCATCAGAATCTCGTGCCTTTTTATCACGTTCTGGGTAGAATTTATCATTCTCCAGCTCCTCCTGGCTCGAACCCTTACTGACAAAAGCCTCATCTGCTCCATCAGATACTAGCAATCTACTATTAACAGTCATATCCTGGAAAATAAAACATGTTAATTTTTGTTTTAATCCGATAATAACATGTAAAACGCACCTCTTCCTTCTTGTTCAACATAGCTTGCGCTTTCAGACTGGCGTACAATTTCCTACCAACATACCCCCTTGCGAGAGCTTGGAAGCAAACTATGGCCTTCTTCAACTTCTTGTACCACGAGCGTACTCTGTATCCTCGCCAAATCTTCTGTATCCGTAAAACAGCGTTCACCATATTCGACAAGTTCTTCTGCACCATAAACATGCGACAATATGATTGCAACGTAATTACAGCATTTTGTATCCGCAGAAAACGCTGTCGTTCCAAGCACGCTCGGAACCATCGCTGTAGCGTCATAATGCTTGCCATGATCTGCTGATGCAATTTGCTGTCCAACTTATCCTTTTCCGACTCCCTCAAGAAAATCTTACTCGTACCCACTTGGTAATTTTCCCTATCCAAATTCAGCGTGGACAGGAAATTCCTCACATCATTCTGTGAGCTGAGCAATCCTTTAGGTAGAAGGATTCGGTATAGTTGGATAAATTCGTCGTAGGTCAACCGCACGTTGAAGCCAGCCCGGCGGATTCGCACTGTTTCCAGCATGCCCGTATATCGGAGCTGCCTTTGCACGGTCGGCACATCGAAGATCTTCGGGATCTTCTCCGAGTTTGATTTGATACAACGAATGAAGAAGGGATTCGCCTGATTCAGTGTCTCCATCAGAGATTGCAGAGACTGCTGGAATTGTGCAGTCACGGTCATCGGCTGTTTGCGAGCTTTGCCAAGTTGGCCTTGATTGGATGGGGTTAATCCAGTTCTACCCGCTAAAGTTTTCACCGACTGCAAATTTTTCAATCCCTTTTTGCCTCTCTCTCTAGGTCGGAACGATTTATTTTTCCTGTAAATCAGTCAGCAATTAGTACCGTTCGTTGCGTAAACAATTTTCCCCACAAAAAAATACAATGAAAAGAACATGATTCACAAAGGAGATAAATGTATATCGAAAGCTTAAAGAAGGCATGCGATCATGCAACATAAAAATATGCATAGTTTGGATCATTCCGCATAAAGTTTCATCAAATTCAGACTCTTATTTATATAAAGATTTAAAGCAAATCCAAAAGATCTTGATTGAATCTATATATCTGAAGTTTGCAAAATATCTACAATAATGATAAAACATATAGGTATAACCTCCACCAATAACCACGAAGCTGCAAATTAAGAATATTGCTAGGAATAGTCCACCACCACAATAGATCGGTACACTTTTGTTTTTTTGTTCTTTTTTTGTAAAAAATCTATGGTGGTACATACATAACGATTTGATTGGCGCGTTGCATAGCCATGGCCTGTTCAGGCCTTAAGACCCTATCATAATTGGCCTGGCCACTGCTGTTCGTAACGACATCCTTGCGACGTGATCGATCGTTCTCGCCACTTTTGCCTACGTTACTGATCTTACCGCGGTTATAAAACTGCGGCCAGGAGAGCCTGTACTGATTGTTAGGAACTTCGGTTTCGTTGTTTCTGCTTATTGGCTGATATAACATATTTCGTTGTTTGCCGAGGCTTCACAGAGAGAGGGAAAAAAACAAAATAAATAAGTCAAAACAAAAGGAAAAGTAAATGTCATGCCTTAAAAAACAATGTAACATACTGCAGCACCGAATACATGCATTCCACATAATAAAATGAGATGATGTATTTTATGCCCATCCCCATAACTTATATATAATTAATATATTTTTGCTGATCTATGTAAGGAAATTATAAAAACAAAATACTGACAGATTCACCTAAGAACAAACCGAACACTCTCTGAAGAAACAAGACTCAAAACAGGGTGATCAAATAACAATACTAAAGAGAAAATAAAAAATATATATAATACAACGATTCGTTCACCGTCTTAAAACTTACGCAATTCTGTTAACTGTGAGGTTCACAGCGGAAACTGTCACAAGATGGCTACAGAATTAAAGAAAACCAATCAGACATGTTTACTAGTCTTGTGACATTTTGTATAAATAAGTTAGATTAGCCATCGATAAATTGACTTCGGTAATTATTAATGTAATTTAGTTAATGAGAGAAGGACCTATTCACCTAATAATGTTTTCATTCGGAATGTGATTCCTCTGGTATCGCTGCTGGATGTTGTTCTTGTTGCCATCGACTCTTCCCTGTCGGTGGCGGCGGCCTGCCTCGTGGAAAGCAAAGTATGCACGGAAGAAGGCGCGAACTATTGCCCACCGGAAGACGGCCACGGGATCCGCGCCCACCAGTTCTCTAACAAAAGCCATAGAGCTGTTCTTCAAAACACCTACGATGTCCTGCCGCATCAGGTCGAGATTCTTTTCCCGCATATTCGTCACTTGGTACTTCACCTTGCCAGCGTAGTGGACAATTATGAACGCCGGTTCCTTCTTCTGCGGCTTTTGGTAGAACTTATTCTCCTTATGGACTGTGTTGAACTTCTGCAGAAGCGTTTCGTTCGTTGCTCCCGGAAAACTGAAAACCGTCAATTCGATATAGACTACATTTTCATATATAAATACAATTTAACAAGTTTACTGCATGATAACTTGTTGATCATTGTTATACTTTCGATAATTATAAGATCTTCATTGATAAATATTACTTAATTAGAATAATCAAACGTTAAAAATATGTTTATAGATTTAAAGTGATACATGATTAATGAAATTGTTTACTTACTTGCATTGGTCGTCGAGCAAACAAAGCAGTCCGTTCGGTTTGCCTTCAATTAAATACAAGCATCCCGTGTTGTCCATAAAATCTATGTTCTTCCAACGTATATTTTCCTTCCTATACTCCTCCTGCTCGTACTTGAATACATGCTGGTTGAAATAGTGCTGTAGGTGTTCGTTGGCGTAATTGATGCAAAGCTGTTCAAAGCTATTGCACGGTCCGAAATCTTCGAAGCCGAATATGTCCAAGACACCAATAGAGTTCCCTTGATGTTCACGAAGAGTGTCCTTCTTTGAAAGAAGCGCGTGGTTCACTTGAAGCACAATCCAATCGAACAAAGCTCCATATAAACACTTAGCCATCGCGTCGCGACTCGCTATGGCTTCTGGAAGCCTGTAGTTAATGACCAGAGTTTCACCAGAGGCTCGTGCTCTTTTCGCGGTCAGGGCCTGCATCAAGGTTTCCTGTTTCACGCGAAGCAACTCGGAAATGAGCGCAACCACCTCGGGGTTCTTAACGCCAACGGCTTCATCATGGTGGTAGGCGGATTTGCGTGGCTGAAACTCGACGTTGCCGAGAAGGAGAACGGCGGACAGCACGGAGAATAAACGACGTTGCTTCTCAGCTGTGAAACCGACCATTTCCATCGACTGTTTCAACCTGGAAAACTCGTAACTCTCGTCCACGTTCTCCAAACTCGAGCATCCGTTCTTGTTCAAGTAATTGTATTGATCGGGTCGCTTCAGATGGAGTATTTGTCGCTCTTGTTCGTTCGCTCCTTCAAGTAAGTAATAGAAGACATGGTAGTTTCTTTCGTTCCTGCCCTGCGTGCAAATACGCGACTTCTCTAAAAGGTACTTCTGGACAACCGCCCCGTGCACCATTCCATTTTCTTTGTAGTTCACTTGGATGAACTTTCCAAATCTGCTCGAGTTGTTGTTGTGTGCTGTCTTGGCATTCCCGAAGGCTTCAAGCACAGGTCCCGCGCTCAAGATGGTCTGCTCCACACCGCAGCCATGCGTCCCTTTCTGGCTCAATGCGGTTAGGTGATGTAAAAGAAAATTCGTGCTCTCCGTTTTACCCGAACCACTCTCACCACTAATCACAATACACTGGTTCTTCCTGTCCTTCAACATGCAATGGTACGCAGTGTCCGCCACGGCGAAGATGTGCGGCGGTAGATTAGGCCCCAATCTGCGGTTCTGGTACAACTTCACATATTTCGGGTTATAGATGGGATAGAATTGAAATGGGTTCACTGCTATAAGTATCGATCCCACATAAGTGTATATGTGCTCGTTCATGAAGCGGTTCTTCAGGTTCTCCAGCAGCGTCTCCTCATTCAGATCGGGCAATTGACATAAATCCGGGTATTCCCTATCTTTCGGCTGGTAGAGGAACCGGTTAAAATAGTCTTTGATCAGCTGAGAATCCATCACGAAATTGTCCCGCCACACGTAGTCATTAGCCTTTTCACGCAAATAAAACTTGTATGTACTCGTCTTCGATGTGTGTATCTTTGGCCAGAGCATCATCAGCTGCACAGGGCTCTCCGCCGGCTGAAGACATCTCTCCTTGCATTCCTGTCCCGAATTGTCACCTATAACTTCCGCCAACTCGTAAACGCCACCGGGAGTCTCCCTAAGGGACAACTTATCCACGATGCAAGAAACTATCTCTTCAGCGGTCGTCTGCTTGCTAGCCTCGACGGTAAGGGCCTCGTATAGGTCGGACAGGGCACCAACGTACACCTGCACTATGTAACGTTTCGTCTCCGTCATCTTCATTTACTTCGAAATCTCTCGTCTGACAAGTCACCTCGTCTCGAAACTAACTAATATTCCGTTCGTGTTTCGTTTATGTCTAGACATTTTGGACTCAGGTTATCGCCTGAACCTGTCGCATCACATATCGTCGTCGTTCATTTTTCGTTCCCCAAATACGTTCTATTTGTCTCCTCTCCAAAAATCCTGCAAATCAAAAAACAAACATACAATTAGCATCTAACAAACTAAGTATTATTATCTAAGAAGCAAAAAACAAAATGAATATGTATTTTTTTTGTATATCGAAAATTGCATTCAATGCCAACATCAAACGTAATTAATTTAATGGTACAGCAGTTTTAAGCTTGAATACACAGTTTCCCAAGATATTACGTAAGGTAATTGTTTAAAAATTAAAAAATAGATGTGTTTGTAACGAAGACCCGTTTCCTTGTTAAGTGTATAAACGTATTCATTGATGTGAATTCAAGCTTTGTAAAAGTTATTTTCACTCCTCTTCGAATATTAATAATAATTGAATTGTATATAATGGAATTGTATCTTTGAGGCGAATGCATGCAAAACTATTATTAGCAAAGCCTCGTGTTTAGAATGCGTTCAATTGTCGCCTCGTCTCTCGTTGTTTGAAAATTGTTACCCAGCCAAACACAATAGATTCTGCACAAAACGCCATATAATAATAATATATATATATACACACACCTATACATAAAGCAGACAGGCTTTTCTTCGACACCGTAGGCGAATCAAGTTAATAACACTGACCCAGAAAACTTATTTCCAAAAACAGTAATGTCACAACAGCCAGGAAGTTTCGCGATAACGAAAATTAACTTCGAAGAGACTACCTTGTTTCTCATACACGTTTGATTCGATTTTCCTACAAATCACGTTTTCCTACTCACAACAAACTATATTAATAACTTAATGTTGCGAATCAATATTGGAGTAGATCGTAAATCAGCACAGTTCGATTTGCATTGTTATCAAACAAACGTTCGTAAAGTACGGCGACTTCATTCATGATTATCGTATTTCAATTCATTGAAAAATCGATTTTCAGAAATAAAAGGTACTCGGCGGCTGTACACAGTCTACGTTGAAAGCAACTATAAATAGAAGATGGAATAGGCGTGTTGTGCAGCAGATAAGAAACGTAAAGAGTCCAGCGCGGTTAAATCACAATTCGCAAATAATGCTTCAGTGATGTAATTAGAAAGCAATAACAGACTGTTAACAAACAGAGATTAGGGAAATTTTACAGCGCTTGCCAAAATTTCAATAACATTATTCCTCGTTATCAGAATTAAGTCAATACCAAATTAAAATAAAACTTCCTTAATTATTAAATTAGTCTTATCGTAAAGCAAAGCTAATCCCACTAATGGTATAGATTAGTTAAAAATTTACACAGTTTTAACCATTAAATATTTTAATTTCATATTTCGCAAATCTGACTAATTTTTAACTATTTTTACTTTCAACTTTAATAGAGTTTATTTTTTTAAATGGTAATTGCTTCCAGTTTATACGTCAAATATTTGTGATACTTGCATTTGTTGTTGCCGAGCTGCAAACAGTATTTTGGGAACATCTCGTTTATTTATAAGCGTTTCTAAATTGAAATTTTATGTCGGAAACTGTCCGTGCATTATATTAATAAGTTTAATATAAACACATTTTCCCGGTTTACTAAATATAAAAATATTTACATACTGTTACAAAGCAGGTCTTACTTGTTATATTAATAAGATTTTTAATTAGATTTTCTATTATAAAATCTTAATTAAGTGATATCATTTAGTGTTATAAATTCAAATAATTATTACCGAAAATATGTGTAAGTACATTTATTTCATATATTCAAGTTATCAAAATAAAATATAAAATGTATGTTTCTGATCTAATCAGAATTCCAGGAATTTTCATGAAGGAACTGTATTATCATTTGCAGCCAAACGTTCATAACCGAATCTCAAATATGTGAATTTAAACAAAGAGTGCTTTGTTCCGTAGGACAAAAAAAGCAACAATTGTGTTGGCCTTAAATTAGTCTAAGTGATTAATTTTTTTTTTTGCATAAATCCCGAAGCATCGGATACCTAGAATGCATTACTCATCTAGACTACACATCGCGCTAGACAGACAACAGTAATGATTTCTCATTCCAAAGTTCAAACAATAAAGAAACACGTTTATGAAAAGCGTGAAATTAACAAATTTTAAGGGTAACATTTCTTGTGTGTAAACGCATTTTGTTAATTTGTAGAATGTTTTTGATTCTCTTAATTAAAACGTGCATTGTTCAACTAAACTAATCAAATTTGTTCAAAGTAATTTATGAAATAACTATATTCGTAGCTAATTAAGTAAAAGTTAATTTCTAGCAAATTAATCTAAGTTTTGGTTAGTGCAATTAGTTTAATAATTAGACAAATTTAAATATAAACAATGAGAGCATACATAAAATTTATTTCTATTCGAATACAACAAAACTAGATAATCTAATCATTTACATAAAAATAAATAGAATAGATCAAATTTCTATTGTACTAATTGAAACATTTTGTCTGATTTATTGAAATTAACGATAACAATAATCTTTTAATATGGATTTCCTGCAAAATACGATTCTATTATTGTTTTGATTGAATAATCAATGATTTATCACTTCTTCTTTCGAAAGTTTACATAATACTTCTGAATGATAATGAAAAATGGTTTAATAAATATTTATGACCTAAATAATCAGTATTTTGCGCAAAACTGTAAATATTACTAAAATTGAATCATCTAATCTATTATGATTAATTATACTACTAAAATAACGTTCAGTTTTTAATATCACGCAAATTGAGAAACTTTTTTCAATTTTATTTTGCGATATTCGTTCCTATTTATCTAATTATCCAATTAAAAAAAATGTAACAAAAACAGAAAGTATTATGATTAATATCTATAAATTTCCTATTAATAATTGGAATATCACAGATTGTCGTTAATAATAGAGCTACTTTCAAAGTTTATTCATTATTTGTGATCCACTTAATTAAGTTACCAAAATTATAGACAAATCTTTAGAAAGTGATGATGTATAAATAGCTTCTTTTTTTTTTAAATCAACCCTTCATAGACCCTTAAGAAACATGATAAATAGGTTTATACAAAAAAACCTGTGCAAGATTCTGAGAACCCCCACAGGTTGTTTATTTTAAGAAGCACCGATTTAGAGACCATCAAAAATGCTTTTCAGCCTTGTTTAAAAGAAAATGGGTTTTTAAAATTTACAAAAAAAAAACTGTCTTTAAATGTAATTAGTTAATACATCATTATTGTTAATGATATCTTAATATTATTAATAAATTAATTAGAAGACAACAATACACTTGTAATTAAAAATCTTTAAGTACTTTATTTGTTAATACTACTGTAATCTCATCACCAACCATGACGTTCTTTACATTTTATTGCGTATGGTTTATTGGTACTACTGTAAATCATCTACGTTCTACTAGTGTTAATATTTGTCCCGCGTTGTCAACTTACTACCTACATAGTCTCCTCATAGTTGCCAAACTTTAGAAAGATTATAAAATTTATTTCTAATTTTATATTTTTAAGAGCCCTACTTTTTGGTTTATAAAAGATTTTTTTTATTATTTTAAATAAAATATAAACTTCCTCTATTCATATCAGAAACTAGAATGTCTATTGTTAAATTATTTTATTGAATAAGTAAAAGCTGTAAGAGATTTTCAAGAAATTTGTAAAACATACAATTTTTGCCCATCATTCCACATTACAACTTTATTCGTTACTTTTGCTGATTCAAATTATTATCCTCATTCCATCATTCGGTCAACAAGAAAAATAGAGTTGCGCATTTTTTTGTCGTTTTTATCTTGTTTATATATAAACTTTGATATACAAACTGACTAACACATAATTTTATAAATCCGTTCATTTTTATCTCCAACATGCTTAATCTGCATCTTTTCACACCATAAATAATAATTAAATGTATTTTTACTAAGTTAAATGTTTTATAATACAATCGTTGCTTTATTTTCTTTTAATGTATTAACTAATTTGGATAAAAAAAAAGAATGTATTTCAATAAGTTTTTTCTCTTTTATATGTGAGTGCACTTAAAGTTTATTTATTGATCATCAAAGATCATTGAAATATTGAGAGAAAAACTGGAAAACATAAATATAAAGTTCTTGTAAAAAAATATATAATTAACAATTAAAGTATTTTTGGATATGATGAAGCAAAAACACACTCAGAAAAATTAGAGAACTTAGTATTGATAAATTAATTCAACAATATATCATGTGTAAAGTTTAAGTTAAGTTTAATTAAAATAATTTAGTGTAATGGAAATAAAATTATAATTGCTATCAATTTTTATTTATTAATTTTCAAATCATAATAAATTTATAGCAATAAACAAAATTACAAAAAATAATATCAAAGTTTGCTGAATATTATTGTGTAAGGTTTATTTCAGAAAGGAAATATAATTAAAAAATAAACAAAAATATTTTCCTGAACATTGCTCAATATATTTAATTCATAATTTAGTAATTACACAAATGAATCATTTCATACTTGCAATGAAGTAATGAAATGCAGGAATATAAAAAAATCAATGATTGCTTGATATCGACTAAGGTTTGTTCAGAAAGGGAATGATGTCATTAAAAACTAACATAAGATAAAAATTGTACTTACAGATTGACAAGTGTGTTGATAAATCACTCAGCAATTGTTTAATCACATAAACTGTATGACATTTAGTGCATTGCCTGTTTTTTTTTAATGAGAACACACAGATAGTGTTGTCTTTGTGAAACAGCACTCGAGCACATATGAGCTTTCTTCCTTAGTTTGTGGGGTGGGTGTGAGTGTATGTATGTTGGGGGCTCGATACACCTGAAAACATGAGCAATACTAAAATATTTGATTGCAACTGATAGGATAATGATGATATCAGGCGATATGTATATAATTGCGCGAGATAACTGGAACCGAATACGAAAACAAGGGGGTTGGATTTGCACTTGCTACTGGTTCACTTTGGGAGGTCGTCGATGAACACAACCCGAACGTCGAGCATTATTTGGGTCACATGTTGCTTCGATTCCAAGACGCTGGGAACGGGGGTATAAAGGGCGCACACACACACACAGAAGGGGACCGATGTCTTCGCCCTTTTCAGAGCAGTCCTATTGCTTTTTTTTTTGTTCACAGTGGGCTTTCTTTTTGGACTCCTCGATTCGAATTCGATGCTGGTGTTTGCGTGTGAGGCTATAGGTGTACGTGTGCATGCGTTTGTGTGTGTATGGGTATAGGTATGTGTGTTAGCCGCCTTCGCGTGAGGAAACACTGGAATCGGGGTTGTACCGTGGATCCTTGTAGGCTGGAGCTGTTGAATTTCCTTCTGGGACTTCGAAAACTGCACCAGACACTAGTCCAACTGCACGGCAACCTCAAATCGACGATCAACTATCAACACATTTGCGACGTATCCCATCTCCGTCCGTCTCTCTCCCGCTCATCGATACTTGCATATGTGTGCGTGTGTGTGTGTGTGTGTATGCGTGTGTGTATGTATGTATGTATATATATATATAGATATGTATGTGTGTATGCAACACCCATAAACAGTGGAAAATATTAAGACATGGACAACGCGAACGTCGCCGCCCATACGAAGGGGGCGCACATAATATACCTGACCGGAAGGGCCTACGTACCTTCGATCGCTCGGACACTAACTTTTTGCGTTATTTACAGATCGGGACGAAAGCTCATTAGGTTTGACACTTGTTAGTGAGTTAGTGCGATTCGCAGCACGGGCGATTCTCCATTTTTTTCTTCGTCTCTCTCTCGCTCCCACCTGACGTGACGTTCCCGTCTCGCTCGCACGTCGGACGGGTCCGGACGGGCTGCGCGAGCTGCGCCCGGGCGCCTCCAGGGGCGCTCCCGTCAAATCAAGGCCAGGTCACGTGACGGAACGCGCGCGAACTATGAATCACGAGGAAGGCGCTTCCATTTTGTTCATCTCGTCGCAACGCAGAACGATTAAAAAAATAACACACACACACACACACTCACATACGTACAGATACATATATCGCACACACACACACACATCTAACTAACGAATAACAGCAGATCCACTAATTACGTATCCCATTCTTGTCTGAAATAGAATAATTGCTATCTTTGTTACGGACGCATATCCGTTACATCAGTCCGGCACGAGATGCACCTACTCGCATATTTTTTTCTTCATATTTCGAATTTCGAAGGTCTTAAAGTCGCAATTACACTTCTAATTAAACTCAGATCCTTCCTTTGCAACACCACGTTAAAACTTCAATTTTAGAAACAATCAAATCCAACCCATTAAAAATCTTACAAGAATATATCAGAAATCTAGACTCTTTCATAGCAGTAACTAGCAAATTCTTACTTTATATCAATTATTTTTCTTTAATAATTCGAAATTCCTTAACAAAACAACAATAAAACAGACAATAATTTCATCAATTGTTATTTGTCCAACAATTAAATCTAATCAATTACGAATCTAGAAATATTTTAAGATTACATTTTTTCTTATTAATAATTTACTTATATCTAATACCAATTGAATTGATTCATTTCATCAATTTTGCAGCCAGAAATTAAACTCCTAATTATACTCTATTTTTTCCTTAACAAGATTACGTTACTTATTTTATTGTTGGTTGTAAATAAAATAAGTAATTCAACTTTTATTCCTTTACTAAACTACATTAATTTACTATAATATTAGAGTTCAAATAATATGCAAAATTATTACACAATAGTTTAACAAAAAGACTAAATTCATTAAATTGTTCTAAATTATTTCACATATTAAAATTATTGAATGTTTTATCACATAAATTTAACAGTGAACAAAATAATTAAACAAAAATATTAAAAATAAATAATTTATTACAATTTCATTAGATTTATAGTAATAATATCAATTTGTTTTGAAAAATAAATTAAATTGTCTACAATTATTTCTTTTAATATAAACAAAAAAAAATGTATAAGATCGACGCTGTGAAAACTGTAACATAAAATATAAAACAGGGTAAATTGGTTACATGTGCGGCGTTTAGAAGAGGAAGAAGCTATGAAGCCAGAAGCATGAAACGACTTCCTAGAATTTCTGGGGAAATCAGTCATCCAAAACAACGCTGACCTTACTTGGGATATAAGTGGAGATACAGATATATATTTTTTCCCTGATATTGTTGCAAGCGGAACATACATGTAAACCATGTGAGTCACAGTTACGTAAATTATTGTTAAAAATCTTGTTTTTTCTCCTTTGGCAGAGCTAAATAATAAAACTTATCATTAAATATACAGTGTATACGTAAATTTGTTAAGTAATTTGTCTATAAATAATTGTTACCGATTATATTTTTTGAAAATTTTGCGACGTCCTACTTTCTTCACGCTTGCCACATGTTGGCCATCCTCACTTTGGTACAACAAATAACTAGAATACGTACAATTTAGAAGAATTTTATTCTTATAATGCCATACGAATAACGAGTTAAACAACGCAAGAATAGTCAACGTTGTGTTTTCCATCTGGGACCTCAGATTAAAGTCACACAAATACGAATTCAATTCATTATCTAATCAGAAAATTATCAAATAAACGAGTATTAATTATGAAATTAGAATATATAAGTATTGCGTTGATTTGTTTGGAAATATTGAAGTTGAAGTACAAATATATAATCTCTTTATACAGTCGAAATGCATTTGCAACCGTTGGGAAAAATCATCACAAATCATTGTTGAGGTACAAAATGTAAATGTTGTTGACCAAATATTCTCAACCATAAGAATGGATACCTGCGAGGATTATGTATATAAAAAACACAATGAAACCCTCAGGTATAGATTCGACCCAAACAACATGGTCAGGTAATGAGCGAAATCTGTACGGTCACTTCTGTCATTCAATAGGTATTTATTATCCCCCATTTTTATACTATTATGAGCACTATTCTATTGTTACCTTTGTGATTGCATTAGTTTTATATGACTTGAGTCGTTACGCCAAAAATAGATTATCTATGGATTATCCGCATTACATTTTATTTGCTTGAAAATTGCCGCTCATCTACCAACTTGCTAAAATGCATAGAAATAGCTTTCAATGTTAAGTGTTTAATCTTTTAGTCTATCATTTATTAATATATTAATAGTTGAAAATATTATTTCATCAAATAAAATTTAAAAATATGTTGACAAATTTAAAATGTTATGTTGTCAATATGTATTATGTATACAATTAATTCTTTTATTTTTATAATGGAGCCAAGATTGGCTTATATAATGAATTTTTAAAACGTTTAGAATTATAATATTTCACAAATAAAGAAATTGAACAAATTTATTATTTCCGTAGAAAAAAATAAATGACCTGTAAACTTTCCAATTTGTTCAGACGGATGTTATTATAGGCAACCAAATGTACACGAAAATCCTAGTAAATTAGTAACACTTCCCGTCTTCAATATATTTAAAGTGAAAATTTATAAAATTAATGTATTTAAATATCTGAAGAAGATAGATTTATTTAATTAAATTAAGTAGTAACTTCTGTAAGAAGATGATTATATAACACAAATTAGAGAAGAAAAAATTGTAAAATATTCGTCTCATTCACTTTATTTATTTTTATTCAACTTATTTGTGAGTTAAATAAAAAAACATATTTTGTATGTAATAAAAAACTAATTTAAAATAATTTCCTTTCCATTATTATATCAAGTCTGCTTGTAGTTAAATATTAACATATTTTCTTAATTAATGAAATGTGTATACATTTTTTCTCATGACACATATTTGTATGACATGCATTATGTAAATCTTATAGAAAAAAAAAACTAGTTTTTAATCACTTAAATAATAGTTTCCGTATTTGTTGGGAAAATAAATTAATTATTCACTTAATGCTTATTCACAAACTTTTTGTGGGCTATACCATAACGACTTTTAATTGCTGAATTAAATTACATACAGCAGGATCTGAGCAATTGTGTTAATTGCCTTAATTGTTCTATTAATAAACTATCAAAACATTGCATAACATACGCGAATTCTCATTACTCATACTCATTCAAATATGAAACATTTAGTTTGTTTTCGTTTCAGTTGGTTTAACAAATTTAGTAGTCTTCTAATAGAATTTAGTATATGAAAATTATTATTGCATCTCGCATATTTCAAATAAATGATTCTATATATTTATTTAATATTTTATTTGCATATTCTATCATCAAATTGGACAAGTTACAAATGGAAAATTTATAACCAACTTTATGTGTGTCAACAGTTTTTTTTATTAAAGGCAATTATCAATGAAATTTCAAACTTCAGTGAAAACAAATTTGAAGAAAATATTACTAAAAAAATATAATAATTATGAAATGTAATATTCTCAATATAACATAAATTCTAATTATTTTATTCTAATTCTAATTAATATTTAAATTACTTTGAACTCCATTCTCTTTATACATGTATAATATTTAAATAAATTTAGTAATGCATACAATATGACTTTGATAATAAAAACATATTTTTATTAAGTCTTTCTTGCATTGGGTTTCTTGCAGTTAAGACCAAATAATTTACTATTTAATAACAAAACTCTTTTATTTTTGTTGTTGATTTAATATTATTTTATATATAGAAGCGATCATACACGTTTTGTAGTGGAATTGAGTAAGGTTTTATGGATGATGATGATTATTTGATAACTATGACTTTTTGTGTAAACGTAAGTAATCTTGTAATCAATTTATTTTTATTAAAAAAGTAGTCATTGCGGTTAACAAAAAATACTATATTTGTATATTGATTCATACATTTAATATATATTAGCAGAAAAGAGGGGTTGTTCAACTCTGAAATATATACACAAAAGAAATGATGTACAGAAGAGACGTATTTTTTTACCATTTATTTAATTACGAAAAATATCCTACTAATCTTTTTTTTAACCTTCATTATTTTTGCTTTGTATGTTTATTTATATTTATCATTATTAATCATTTGTATTACCTTTTCATATTTTTTTTTTAATTTATTAACATCGAGAGAAAAAAGAATCGTAAAAGCCATAAGAGTTCAGAGAATCACTTGTGCCTTTTTTACACACCTACTTCACACTCAAAATTATCTTTCCTTCTTCACATAGTTACAATTTATTTTCCTTTTCTTGGGGTGGAGAAGGGGGGTAGGGGGGTCGTTGGTAAATTTTATTTTGCTTTTTCTTTTATATATAAATTTTCATATTCAACAAACGAATGTGTAAAGGGGTGTCAATTTTATACGATTTACAGTTCCGTATGTACAACAATATATCAAATGCACAAGAATATATCAAAGCAGTCAATAACGTAATAGAAATAATAATAATAATCAAAATAACCATCCAGAGAACAGAAACAGTAAAGGAAAGTACAAAATTAAATAGAACACAAAAAAAAGAAGAACAAAACAAAATTATATTAAGGGGGATGTGGGGAGTCGTGGGAAGTCTCGCTGAGAATCCCGTCTCTTGGATTTTCATTTTTATTTTCACCGTCGCAAAAAGGAAAGAAAATTAATTGTAATATTAATAATAGAAAATAAAAATGATATAGTTGTATATTAAAAAGACACAACAGAAAAATATATATTTGTTTATATATATATTTTGTATATGTATAAAGGGAATAAGGGCGTTCTGCTTGAAACGGCGGAAACTACTACTAATTTACATGCTTGTAATGAGTGGACACTCTATAAATCAAGGAAATAATATAGATGATAATTAGGAGGAACGAAATAACAAATTGTAGAAATAATAAAATAAGTGTTGCAAAATTCAATAAATTGTGCCTATTTCACTATTGTTGATCACTGAGAGTCTCCGTTTAGTTAAGTTCATTTTTCATTCGGTAGGTAAGTAGGTACACTAGAAATTCATTTCATTTGTTGTGTTTGTATATATACTTTTTTATAAATATATATATGTATATATACATGTGTGTGTATGTATATATACGAATATACGTGTAAGTGTAGTGCTTTCGCCTCAATGATATCGCCTGGCCCCAAACGCATGTATGTTCAAACAGTTATTAATAAATAACTTCGTAGACGGTGGCTTTTTTGTCGCCTGACCCCGTGACAATGTATTTGTCGTCGGCCGAGATGTCGCAGCTCAGTACGCTGGAGGATTCCTTCGACTGAAATAGATTGAAATTAGATTGTGATTGAGTCGGATCAGAGTTGTTTGATAATACTTGGAATATGCTGGCGCCGTAGGGTGTCCTCCAAGCGTTCAGGAGGTTGTCTTTCCCGGTCGAGACGAACCATTTACCGCAAGCGGCGAACCTGAGACTCAGGACACAGCTTTCGTGAAGGTGCAGCTGGTACTTATCAGGTTTGGAGGCATGAAGTACTTCGACATGCGAATTCTCCATACCCACAGCTAACCACTCGCCTGTCGGACAGTAACCCAGCGAGAAGATCTGGGAGCTGAAGTCGTGCTGCTGAAGTTGCTTTCCCTCTCGGAGATCCCAGCTGCGAACTGTGTTGTCCAAACCTCCGGTCCAGAGCTTTGTCCCGTCGGAGGAGATGTCTATGCAAGACGCCCCGTCGGTATGACCCTGGAACTGCCGCACGAGAGTCTGGTTGTGGAGGTCCCATACCGCGATATTGCCATCGGAGCAACAGCTGAAGCACACTTTGGAATCGGGGCTAATAGCCAACGCGTAACAAGCGGGTGCACTAGACGTGAGTTCTGCCTTTATCCTCGGCGTTGGACTTGCCAAGTCCCAAATCGACAAATTACTAGCTTCACCACCGACAATTAAAGTCCGTCCGTCCGGCAACAATTTCACAGATCTTATGTAGTTATCCCTTTGCTGCAAAGAAGGAAGAAACAAAACAGAAATGAGACCATCGTTACGCAACACTTTTTCCAATTACTTACCAGACAATCCAGTTGGGACACCGGGCTTTTCGACCCTGGTTGGCTGATGTCCCAAACTTTAACGCATCCCTTTCCACCAGTATATACATACTTGGTCGGATTCGAGATGGTTACTGCGCACACAACTTCTCCATGGCTCAAGGTATTTATTTGTCTCGCATGCCTTGGTATACCTGGACCTACCAAGGCATCTGACGGAAAGGGAACCGGCTGAAGTTGCCCTTCTCCATTCATATGAAACGAATACGCTCTGAAAATAACAAAAGAAAAACGCAAACATTAACACATCATCCTCTTATAAACAGTAAATTCTTCAGAAATAGAAACATATAAAGTATAAACAAAAGTGTAATAATTAGGTTTAATATGAATATTCCTTGATGGTCGTAACATTTCATATTCATGTTACGACCATCAAGGAATATTATAAATGTTTGTTGTGGGTGATAATTATTATAGCAATCAGTAAAATAATAACTTTTGGGGATGTACTTACGGTTTTCCACCAGGAATAGCACCTAAGCCATTTGTGGCGATACCTGGAGTTCGTGCATGGGGATGACCATCATAGCCTATGAGAGGGGGCCGTCCGTACGGTGATTGTGCCACATTATTATAAGGACTCATGTGCTCAGGTCCACGACCACCGGCTAAGGCGTACGGTGGATACTGGCCCATGGCTCCAACTTTAGGTCCGCCACCCGCAGGCCCAGCGCCTAAATTCGGCGTTGTCGATCGGGGTTTTGAACCAGGCGTGAGGGGTTTTTCCTACAAAAAAAAAACAAACACATTTTGTCTCATTACAAACCCTTAAGTAAAGTAATTAAAAAAGAACTCTCTCTCGCTATATCATCAACAACGACGTGTGTTTCCATAAACAAGATGAAGTAAAGAATTTTATAATAAAAAAAATAAATAACCCAAGTGTAGTACAAGTGTGTGCTTAGCTTACATCTTTACTTTTCAAGGAAGGCGTGCTTCTGGAGGATGAGGAGCCGCTTCGGCTCGGAGGTCGTTCCATCTTGACTTTGTCACCGTTCGTGCTACCGTTCTCTCTGATCTCACCGCCGCTGAGGGCCGGATGTTCTCCATTCGGATGAGGCGATTGAGCTTCCTGCAAAAAAACAATACCATACAACCATAAGTCATCCATCCTGGGTCAGATTTTACTATTATTATAACAAACCTCATTCGCCACGTCCACGACGAGATCCTGATCGCTCTTTTCTCCATCGCTTTCCTAAAACAGACAATAATAAAGACAATCAATGACGACGATGTTCAGAGTGGAGCACATAAAAAAAAGCGAACAAGTTTGCGTAGAAAGGAGTGCAGGGAGTTAATGATGGGCGATAAACGCCTGACATCCATTAAATATATTAAGGATCGATTTTTCCATTTCCCCACACACATACACATAAACACACCCCCGCATAACGTTGAATGGCGCGCCGTTCTCGGTTGCATCAAGAGCTAATAAATAAATTATTCAATCAAATAATGGCGGAATGCGACGATTAAACCAAAACGGAAACGACACAAACACATTCTCAACAAGATAACTTACAAACATTATATGATTACCTACAACTATTTTTTTATCATTTCAAATCTAGATTGTATAAACATTGCTTCTAATATAGAATTAAATCAAATACTAGTCATTAAGGATATTATAATTAATATTTTATACATTTACTAGTTTGAACTTAATATTGAACTTCTATTTATATGAGAGTTTTAACTGTTGAAACTATAACATTACAAACTTGTATCATTGCAGACACTTAAAAAATATTTATATACAACTTTTACATTTTTCCTACATTGTTACTAAAATCATATACAGCACATTATCATAATTTGACCTTTTTATTCAACCATGAAGTATATTTATTATATTGAAACAAATTGTAGTTACTTTGAAATATGCACTAAGAATAATAATAAATCAAGTTTTTGAAATCATTGTTTTATAAAAGTTGTAATTTTCTTTAGAAACTAAATTTTCTTTATATTCTCAATGAGAAAGTTAATAAATAATAAACATGTAGATATGAAATCACTCAAATAATGCAAGAATGTTACGGAGATTAATTCCACACGGAAACTTCAAATCAAATAAAAATTGTTATTGCTTTAAGTAAAAGAAGCAATTATATATTTATAACCTGTTTACTTTATTTTATTTTTAATTGAGAATTTCTGTTCTTTATCATAAAATATTTATTGACTTATTTTATTTATCTTAAAATAATATAATTCATTATAATTAATTAAATCACTGTTTTTTTTTCAATTAAAACTTTAATAAGTTTAAAGAGTAAATACAATAATTACGTTCTGTTCATTAATGCAAAGATTAATCTAAATGCAAAATAAAAATGGATTAAACTTCAATTACTGTGAATGTCATTGTGATTGAGATCATAAAAGCATGAATTTGCACCCAAGTCCACGCGGAATATTCAAATGACTCTGAAAAGAAAAAAAATGAACCAGAAGAAGCCGGTCGTTTTTTCTTCCCTCGAGTTTCTGAGAAATCGGTGTGTGCGGTTCATTAAGAAAATGAATGAGGGCCAAAGAAATTCTCACAATTACGACTCTTTCAATTGTGTCCGAAAGAAAAAAAAGAAAGAAAAGAAAACAAGGAGCAAAGAAAAGAGGCGATCCGTTAGATCGGAGCGGTGGGACGTGGGAGGACAGAGCCACTAGATGATGAATATAATGTTAATTTTAATGGCACGATAAACAATGGCAGCGGCGGCTTAATAGAGATAATGCTGCCTCCTTTAACGGCGAAGAAGTTGTTGAAGAATGGAATTGAAAGAAGTAAAAAAAAAGAAACGAGAGAAACTGGTGCAACTACAACAACAACGACGACGAAACGGAAATAAAAGTGGGGGAAAGTGAAAGAGAGGAAAAAATAAAATAAAATGTGGAAGAGAGAAAAAGAAACTGAAACAAAAGGAACGTTGCATCCGGAAGGCCGAAGTGTTTAATAAAGATAATTGTCGGAGGGAGAAAAGAGTTGGACTCGCAGCAACGCGGATCGTGACATTGCGAGCTTTTAATTATCCGCAGAAAAAAAAACTATGAGAAGTTGAAAATGTAGAATAAAATCTGGTTTAGTAAATCATAAGTGGACTTGTATAAAGGCACACAACAGATTCTGAAGCGTAATTATGGATGAGCAGAAAAATAGGGAAAATAAATGTATCTTCTGTAGCGCGCGCGATGAAATATGATATTCGATGCGTTATTGCCTGGTTAATTAAATCGCAATAATTCCTCGTGCTGAGACAAAGATCGGTATGTCTGAGTGTCTTTCGATGATGGTAGTGGAGGAGGAGGAGGTGAAGAAGTAGGAATTGTTGGTGAGAGGAGGACGACCCGAACATGCGGAGTCAACTTTTTTATCATCCTGCAAATGGCGGTTCGTGCAGTTCTTGGTAGAGGTGATATGGGATCCGATGTGACACGATCACTTTTATTTACGAGAATTCAAGCAAAAACATGTTAAAATTTTACTATTGTTGGTGATACGAGTACAGAGAACTTATTTTCACATTTTATTGTTTCGTATCATCTGTTGGATTTCTGTGGAAGACATGTTATCTTTAGCAAAAAGGAAATTATAGAGTTTTATAAAAAAAAGAAGGAACGTCCGGTGAAACTAAGTAATAGATATACATTAAAGTTAATTTTCGATATAAATTTCAAGCGACAATAAAACGTAATTTAAAATGTAGCTCTGTATCAATTTAAACATTTAAATATAAAATGAGGAAATATGATTTTTATAAAACTTTTTTATAACTATTTAATTTTTTTCATATTTCAATATAATTAATTTATGAAATATTTTGATTCAAAATATTCACATTTGTAGATTTCAATTAGCAAACTTTAATTATTCCAAATGTATTGTTTTGCAATGTAATTTCATTCATTTACAAATTGTCATAAAAGAAACGTTACCATTTAATATCTATTGAAGTTACTTTAATTTTTATTTCTTAGTTTTTTATTTAATTTTATAGAATGTATAAAACTTAAATATTCAATTAATGCGATAAAACTAGAAGTTTGCATAATTGTAATTCTTAAAAATATTGTTTAAGAATTACAACAAATACAAGAAAATTATCAAAATTGAAGAATATGTTGCACAAATTTGTACATGTAAAATCAAATTACAAATTACTTAATATGTATTGGTTTTTTTACTTTGTTATTTGAATTGATATTAATTTGAATTTTAGATTATGTTTGTATAATTTAATATTTATTTGAATTTGTATATAATTGTCAATACAAAAATTATAGAAATATATATAATTAAAATAATTACTTAATATAATTAAGTTTATTGCCAATTAACAATAATTATTTGTTATAAATGCAATACAATTCTCTATTTTTATATCCATTTAAAATAGAATAATATATGTTATTTTGCAAAATCATTCTTATTTTTATATATAAACAAATTAAATACAAAGTAAATTTATTTTTTTCTATATTAATATGACAAATTAATTGTAAAAAATATTAATGTTTAGGAAGAAACAGGTGTAATTGTACTTTAAGTCTCGATTCGAAAATATTGATGACTTATAATTTAAAAAAATTTATAATTGAAAATGGTAATACAATTTTTTGCATTCTTCTATTTTCGTCGAATGCGGACTGCGATACGTTATTGTTGTAAAGCCGTAATTACAATCCACGTATTCATGAAGAGTGGAGAGGTTCGATTCGTGGTTTAATAACAGTTTCGCGATTAATAATAATCCAACGAAAATGGAACAGGCCAAAAGTGAATTTAAAAAAAGAACAGTATCAACAACAGAATATTAAAAGAACAGCAACAACAACATATGAAAAAGAAAAAGAGAAAATACGTTCGAGACAGCATACAAAATGGTGTATGGCGTTGATGATGATGCTGTTGATGATGACAATAAAAAAAAAGAGAGCGAAAGAATGGAACGGGTCGAACGTATTGGAGGAGAAAGAGCGCTCTCTCATTACACACAAATTAACCGCTTCGATTCTGCTATTATTATTATTACATTCGGCCTCCCCAATTGCACTTATTATACATTTTATTCCGTTCTCCCCGATTCATTCCTATGATCACTTTAATTGCATCGCAGTAATAATTACAGACGTGTGCCCCGGCGAGGAGGGAAGCCGAAGGTGGTGACCCCCTTCTCGCCACCCACACCCTCTCTCTCCTCATCCCCCTCCGCCACTCGTTCCCCTTTCCGTGTAATTTTTACGTAGCCCCCGGTTACGTAAACGATAAAAGCGCGCGCCCCGTGATTTCCGAGCGCGCACCTAAAACGCCAATAAATCAGCCGACCGACCCACACAACCCTCCTCCCTCTCTCTCCCCATCCCTCCCTCGCACAGATTACATAATGAATGAACGGATGAATGAACGAGCAGCAACTTATAATATGCGATAATAACCGCCGCATTATTGATTGAAATTAAAACGTTACATAAAATATTACACGCATTTCATTATTATTATTTAATGGAAAATATTTATTCGTTAATTGAGGTCATTTCATTAAAGAAAACTTATGAATTATATTGTTTTATATGATAACATAAACTAATTTCTATTTACTATATTTTTTTACTTTGAAATTTTATAAAGTTGAGATAATTAAATATATTCAGCGCAAAATCGTTTAAAGTTATCAAATGAAATAATTAACAATTATGAGCAATTTATGCAATTTTATCAAATGTAAAAGTGCAAAACATAATTTAACGAATGATTTAATAATTGGATTAAGTTAATAACTAATATTTAATTTGACATTTCAAAAGAATATTAAATTGTAATCGTGATGTTTGTAGGAAAATTGATAGACTTAATCTATTTGGTAATCTCTTAATGTCCTTAATGCTAGTATAGTGGCTTGCCTAGTATTCCCCAGGCTATTCAAACACAGACTGTAAAAACTCATCATAATTTCTGTTAATTTACAAGAAGAGTAGGCGTTAGTTTCCCACAATACAAAAAGGACCGCTCGACATCTTGAAAAGTGACCTTAATAAATACATTTTTAAGTGTTGGTTGTCAAACGAATTTTAGCTCAAACAAAAAAATAAGCACATCCTTACGTTGATTAGATTTTAATACTTGTATGCTTATATACACACCTAATGCGCATCATTTAAACTTTGTTAAATCAATATAACATAAAAATAAGATCCATTCGATTATATCACAATTTCTATTCGAGTTTCGATTTTGATGCATTGTAGCAAACAGAAAGATTTTTCCCAAACATATTTCAAATGCAAATATTTATTCCGCTTTTCCAAAATTTACTTTTCGAAAACCAAAATCAAAAAGTTATATCAAATTTCTGTTTGGTTTTTACGATCATTTGCATTTTATTGTTGAAATTAATAATTATAGTCTTGTTGGTGGAACCAATTCAAGTATTATCATTTACACACGTTGCTTAACTTTCGTAAGTTGTCATTCAACGTGTTTTATTCACATACAAAATTTAATAAATTTTGGAGAGGACGAGGGTTCGGGTCAATACTGAGGTAAGTAACAAAGAAACGAGAAGAAAAAAGCAGTAACAGAAAATGGAAGAAATGTGTATGCGAGTCAATACGGTTGAGTATAAAAGTTTTATGATGTTGTTTCATTCATGGCCACCCTTCACATCCCTATCTCGATGCTCAGTCATAACCGCTGTTCGCGCGGGGAACCTCGTTTTTAATTCATAAAAATTCAATCTATAAAATATGGACCGACGTAACCCTCTACTTTGTCAGTCGCCCCTCGGGTTTCTGTCACCCTTTAATAAATTAGATCTGGTTAGGTCGCAGGCGTTGCGAGCGAAAAGAAACTCATTAATTTATCGAGAAGAGAAAGAGATGAAGGACGGAAGAAAGGAGAGGAGAAAAAGAAAGAAACTTCCTGAAAACACCCCTCGTCAAATTAAAACTACTTCGCTTTACGTAACCCAGTCACTCTCACTCCCTCTTCCAAGCGCTCGTCGCTCACCGAACGAGTTACATATTTAACGAAGCAAGGAAGTTTCCCTAAATCAATTAATTCATAAGTCTCGGATAGTAGACCGCACATTTATTATTCTACCTTGATTTTGTTTGTTTGTTTGTATACTTCCAGTTTCATTTCAGTATTAAACATCCTTTTAATGGCTTTAGCATACACCTTAATCGTATTAGTATAAGTATCAATACCATAATCGTAATCGGTAATTATGTTTGTACTCCAAATTAAAAATTTAAGACAAATTTCAACCATTTATATTGTGCAATGTATTATTATATACAGCTAAGACTTATTACTCTAACATATCGTATGTGCAATTTGTCATAAGCTGGCTAATGGTACATGCTACCCATTATCCTGTCAATTACTGTTGACAACACACGTTGCTAAACTATCGTAATGAATGCTATACCTTTATTAATTTACTAATATTTGCTTACATAATTTAAGTTTGTTGGTTGTTAGATAGAACAACTACTTACTATGTATCCATGACTACCATAGCTTATTTAGAACACTGTGGATGTACAGTTTGTAGAGTACATTAATATAAGTACTTTTACAATATACTTAGAAACAATTAGTAAATTGGATGTGTATGTAGTATGAAACTTCATTTATATTTGAATCATACATTTTTTTATAATATAAAATAATATAGTAATAAAAATGCTTTGATATTGATTAATTTGGCTATTAGTCAAGTAGAAACAAAAATTGTAGATTTTAACCAAACGCAAAAAGACGTTTATTTTTATGTACGTTATAAAAATGTAACCAAAAAAAAAATCTAAATAATATTAAGCAACGTCAATTATCCGAAACAACATGTAATGATCGCATTTAAAGCGAGTACAGCAGAGAGGGAAGGCTATAAAACGTATGAAAATAAAAATAAAATCAAAACGAAAACAACAGCAAAAAAATGTGCAGTTTCGTTTCCAATTTCCGCAATGCGCGGAAAATCTGAACGGGATTTCGCTTGCGTTTTATTTTCTGTGTGTGTGTTTTTTTGTTTGTTGCATTTTCGCTATATATATTTTTTTTCGCTGCGCGAGGGTGTCGAGGGGTTTTGGGTGAGGGTTGGTTGGCGACGGCCGGATCGCGCACTTCCACTATTTATGGGTACTCATTTTTTTAATCCAGTCGTTTATTTTTATTTATTTTTGCATGCACATGTCCGATCCTCGCCTCCTCCCTCACTCTTTCACTCTATATCTCACCCTCTCGCACTCATCCATACTTGCGAACCTTCGCTCTTTACACGTATATTCTATCCATATACGTATTTTTTCTATCCGGTGGACGATTTTTCAAAGCCCGCTGTCTGGCGTTAGGGGGAGGGTGGAATGGTTACATTCCGTTTCGCTGCCCCCGCGTTGCATCCACATCGATCATCAATCACAATTCAATCAAACTCGTAAACGGTCGAGCCGCCTCCGCGTTCTCCGAGACGTAGAAGGCAATCGCGCATTTATTTGTTATTCCATCTTGGACGATTAATGAAAGGATGTTGGAGCTTCCAAGTGAAGGGGAGAGAGGTTGTTCGTCGGGGATGGAGTTTGTGTTTGTGTGTGTGGATGTATGTGAGTGCGAGCTCTAAAGGGTCGTTCCATCGATTGCCTAATTGAGATTGGAAGCTGGGGGAAGAGTTGTGTCAAAACTATTCGTTTCGAGAAGGAATAGTTTCGTGAGGATGAGGGGATGAGCGCGGTCCGTGCGGTTGATCGGGGCATTTCATCCGGTACGAAAAGCCCCGGGGTAAAACTTTGGGCAAACCCCGTGCCCGCATCCCTCCGCCACAACCGCCTCTCAAACCCCGTCCATCGTCCACTCACTCACTTCCTCTTCTCGAACCCGGCGCAGTTTGTTTAATTTTATTACATACATAATATATTTTGAAAGTAAAACCTTTTTGGGATGCGGGGGTTGTATATGTAATCAACTTACGTGTCCCAATTTATCCTCTTTCCTTCGCTTCAGATCCTGGTCGACATCGGCCGGTGATCGAGATCGGTATTTATCTCTTTCGCCTGGAGATACGGAATTCTGGGAAGCAGAAAGAACAAGAATAAGATGAAGAATTGCGGAGCAGATGGATGCGTCGAGCAGACGCGAGATTATTATTCCGACGGCTTGCGTTCGAGGAGTGAATGTTCTATTTTATATTCCTCATCCACCGGCATAACAACACCGTTCATTTGCCATCCTCCTACATGCGCCTATTCGAAAGTACTCTTCAGACGATCATTCCATAATGATAAGCTCATGCAAGAAACACAATTTCTCTTCCACGATGCGGTGTGAAATTATTCATATAGATTATTTAACATTTACAAGTACTAAAATAAATTCTATTTTGTTCAATGAAAGTGTTTACATGTGACTGTAATAACGATTGTGAATTCTAATTCTTCATCCTCATTATGATGACATGAGACATAAATATTAATCAATAATAGATATTGTACTGTAATTACATCGATATTTTCATTTGGTTTTCCTGAAATTAAACTTGTAGCTGTAATGGTCATATGTAGACATCATACTTATTACGATGAAGAGTTTCACGAAAAGCGTAGTTTGGACGCAGCATTTACAATAATTGAAGAAAATACTATTCTGACCTATAAAATTCTTGATGGAACTACAAAACAATGATTCATGTTATGTTTCTAATGCTGCAACTCTTTTTGATATGAGACATAAATATCTATTTTGCCTATTTTGAAACTTAACTGGAAGTTAAAATAGCAATAATCGGTACATTTGACAGTTTTATCTCACTCTTAAATTGGATGCAGCATTACAAAAATAAAGTAAGTTGTAACAGATAAAAAAATTAAATACAAATTGTGGATTAAATCGTCAAAGAAGAATATTCACTTCTGTATTCTTTCCTTCCAATATGGAACTGATGCTTTTATGAAAATCATCATGCTTTGAAATCATTTAAGACATATTTACTTTGAGATGGTTTTAAATTGTTAAAAGCTTCGTATGCATTCCCATTGTAACCAGATCATATAAGAATATTATATTAACACAACATGAAGTTCCTAACGTGATTAAATAATACATCTTGCAGATATTTACGACAGCAATGAAAATTCAATTTCAGAAAAGTGCTATTAAATATTTACCAGTCTTTCTTCGGTGTTAGCAGATCCTGGACCAGTTTTCAAATCCGCGGGCTCCCTCGCATGAAGATCGGCGGGCTTCAGGAGCGGTGCACATCCTGCGATGGCGGCAGCATGAGGACCACCGGGGGCCCCAGGTAGGCCGCCCCCGAAACCGAGTAGACCGGCTGCGGGACCCATGCCAGGAAGTCCGGGATGCGGTCCCATTGGTAGACCACCTGGACCGTGGGCACCGTGAGGCAATTGTTGCGCATGGATCTGTTGCTGCAGCAAAAATCAGAACGCAATGAAACAAACCTCGGACGGAATTCAGGGATGCAGCAAATCGTGTCGATTCATGTGTAAAATGTATGTTTTTCTATATGCTAATAAAGTGTATTTGTTCGTCTATACTAAGATCACTAAGACCACAATATAAATGTTAAAAATAAATGAAATTAATTCAAAGTAAAGTAAAATTAAATTAAATTAACTACGACTAGTAATAATCAATGGGAAACTAGCGGATGAATACCTTTGAAGGCTACAGGATTGGATCATTTGGAAGGTGGTTTAATAATAAGAGACGTTTCTAGAACTACTTACAAGCAACTGTTGTAGACCTTGTTGTTGTTGTTGCTGTAAAAACAACAACAGAGAACGCATTAAAAAAAACTCCTGAACGTAGTACCATCACCCACTCATATGTGTATCATATTGTAGACAAAAAAATACTTATATAAAAACCCCAAACATGTATAACAAATAGTAACTTTAACAATAGAATAGAGTCCATGGTAAAAGTAGGAAAACGTTTCCGCTTCTCACACTCTCACTCTCTACTAAATTAAATTATAAATACTTATTACTTAACTATCATTCACTACACTCCCATACAATCTATTTGATTTATTTAAATTATTGACTTCTTTAATTATTTATTATTTTTTTTTTTCAAAATTTTAATTCAAAGTTTTTATCCAAATTCGGTAAATTTAATAAAGGGATGATACTTGGGGGGAATTCAAAGACTCACCCCGATAATAGCATTCAGTTCGGTCATGGTCACCTGCTTCGCTCTTTCCACTGCTGAGGCGACCTGCTGTTGGTGTTCTTGCGCAAGGAAGGGCAGCACTTGGGCGATAATTTGGTTAAGTCGTTTGGCAATTTCAGTCTGGAAAATAAAAGAGGCGATTCTATCTATAAACCATACACCGTCACCTTTTTTTTTGATAACCTTTCCGTAATTGATTTTGGTACGTTTCCAAAGCAAAAGTCAAGCGAAAAGAATAATGTTTTGCATGTTATTTTCCTTTTGATCTGTGTGCTTCGATATTATTTTTTTTTCTTTTCATACTTTTCCGTTGCTTTTTGCGACGTATTTAAACCAACTGTTAGGTAAAATGAGAGCATGCAAGCCAAAAAGCAGATCTTACCTGTTTGTGCATCTCCACATTAAGGCCATAAGACATTTCGTAATACTGCAACAGAAAGGAAATTCACCATTAGATAAATTTGTAACACATTTATGATTTCGAATTAACACAATCAGACGAGGTTTTAGCATTGTTTTATAAATAGTGTAATTTGTTTAAAATTACATATAAAAATAACATTGGAAATAATTCCATTAAATAACTAAATCAAAGTCCAAGAAGACTGTGGCCAATAGCCCATTTCACATGTATTGATTATTCAATACAGTATTTATTTCAATATTATTAACAAAATATTAATATTTGACAATAGATATAAATTGGTGGACAGAAACAAAATAAAATCTTTACTTTTTATATTATTGAAAAAAAAAATACAAATATGTGGACCAATAAATATATTGTTTATTAGTTATAAATTAAAATTTCAATCAAAATCAACATTTACAAACATGTTATATAATAATTAACGATTATATAAACTTGCCATTTTAGTAGTGTTAAGTGTAAGTAAAATAAGTAGTATAATTATTGTATAAATATAAATAAACAAAAGTTAGTTAAATTCGATTATCTTCATGAGAAAGTTACATAAAGGTTGGATGTAACAACGATATATATTACGTGCAACAAGTGGAATTAAACGCTTTAGATACGAAGCAATTATTAAAAGCTTAGCACGTTTCTATAGGCCTAACTATAATATCTGGTTAAGTTAATGTAAGGATTACATACTAGGATAATCGATAAAATATCTTTACTATAAAGTTAGATTATACACGATTTAATTAAGTAAAAATCTGCTGTTAAACGTAAATATGTTTTATAAAATTATGTTCTATTCACTTAAGATATTTATGTACTGCAGTTATCTAACCAGAAAACCCTCTGGACAGGCGTCGAAGAACTTGTTGTTTTGTTCTCAATATAAATGGGTTTCGCTATAGCTATTTACCTCTTCCACTCCACTGACCAAGCCTGTTACTTCATTTAATAGGATTTACTATTTGAAATATATCTCAGAATTTATACTTGTATAAAATGTATATTTGTACTTTAGTTAATGGTATGATAATGTGTACAATACTCTCATATCGTTTATTTGCGTATTACAATTTAATTATTTTAGTATTTTTTATTTAAATTTCATTAATTAATAATCAATTTTACAGATTAAACATTAATTGTAATTAATTTAAATAATCGGTCCTATTTTCTGCTAAAATGTTATTGTTAATGCACATTACATGTAGGAAAACAAGATTGTATAGTGTTGGCATCTCGTGGAATTGTAAGACAACTATACTTTTATCAAATATTTTAATTTGAATCATGGGACAAATATACATTTTATAATATAATTATATTTGTAATTTTTCATTTTAAGAAAAAACTTAACGTTTTCAATTATATAAAATTTTACTTTTTTGAAATATATTTTATGTCCATAATAAACTTATAAAAAAGTTATATTTTTATATTTAACGGAAATAAATCAAATTTTGCTATTAGTGTAAAGTGTCATAGAAGAAGTGTTACAAGTTAATATTCAAATAGCATTGAAATAAAATTTAATTTTTTATGAAGATTTTAATATCACATTTTGATAAATAAAAATTTCCAATTCAGTAACTGCTATACAACTTGAAAAATATATACATTTTCCTTTCTTATAATTTTTAATTAAATCAGTAAATTGTACTTGGAAGAGGATATAAATAATAATTATTACAAATTATGATGTTATGACGCGAAATATGAAGAATCTGAAATATATACTACATACAAAAAACAAATAATTTCATCGTAAATCCGAACATTTTTCTCCCCATCTGCGAATCCTAATATATATTAGCTTTTAAATGAGTCTCTCGTAGGTCTTTCACGTCCTTCTTCCTCGCCTGTTGTCGGATCGTGTATTATTAAGTTATTGGATTTATGGGGGAAAATTTTCCAATATACGAGGGAGTGCGTTGATCATTGGAAGCACGGAACGTTATTCGGGGGAATAATTATGACATCCCTCACCCCGGTTTCGCAATCGCGAATACACACCGGGAGACGAGATCATCCAACCAACCCCCCAAATCCCCCATCCCAACATCCCCATCCAACCAACCTACATCCATATCCAACCAAACCCCATTCACAGCCGCCCCCACATACTCTCATACACGCCCGAATAAATTGATCGCAAAAAAAAAAGGAACGACCCCCCGAACCCCAATTATCGTACCCTCCCACCCCCTCATCGCATACTTAAATTTTCTGTTTACACACTTTACTTGTTCGCGTTCACTTTCCATCCCGACGTTATTTATGAAACGCCCGGGCCACCCCCTAATTTCGCGTGTTGCGCTTCGGATTAACGACTCGAGCTTTGCATTTTTATTTGTTTTCTTCTTTTTTTTTTTAGTATATCGCCACCCTTGATCACACCCTTCGTAGCGCGAAGAGTATGAGGTTTTCTGAATGAAGTCTAATTGGTTCTGTTAATTGTCGAAGATTTTCCGAGGTGCGAGAAGATCGCCGATGATCACACCGGTTCGAAGGGGGCGGTCGGGGGGCGGCGGAAGCCGATGTTTCGCATCTAGAGAGCATCAATCACAATTAGGTTTGTATCGTGATTACCGGCAATCCACCGATTGCATTACTGACAATGATATTACTTACAGTGAACCGCATGATCGATTGCTGTGGTTTGCTGCGGTGCGTGCGTGTGTATGTGTGTATGCACGTATACACATGCATCGATACCTCAGTGTGTGTATATGTTGGTGCACCTAGCATTACATCGCAATATAACAACCATGCTACTCGTGATTGCCAACATCGTCGGCCACTTTGTTCATCAATTCTACATTCTATTTCTACCAGACTACGTCTCCTCTCCAACTCGCACACACACATACAATACCCATGGCTTTCTGACATGGAACGAATTATACGGTTCGAGTACGTGTGCAGCTTAAAACCCGTTATCTAACATCTAAATCTAACTTATTTTCAAGTAAATTAACTGCTAATTTATGGCCTGCTACGACGGTCGGGAACTCGTAACGCGCAGCCAGAGCTAATGAACGGCATGGGAATATTAAAATCCATTTTCATATTCCAACAATTAACTATCTATATAATAAAATGCATTAATTACTCGAAACACGACGGCCGTACGCTCCGCAGCATAATTTCAGAACTTTATTAAACCGCGAACAGATTTACTTTCAAGAACCTTCATCTTCTCCGCCAACACCTAACCACTCTAAAACTAAAGATTCAAGAAGCTCTTTCAACAAAAACCTTTACAAAATAAAGAGTCAATTCAGAGCTTCAACAGGTCAAATCAACTTAAAAGCACGTTCCTAAAATTTACTCAATATGCAAATACTAACCGAAAAAAAGTGAGTAGAACTATTGCATATTGGACATTTCATATTTAATGACCTAAATCAGTAATAGCGAACCTTTTGGGATCGGTGTGTTAAAATTCGGAAAAAACGTAGCTTAACACGGATGCCGTGTCACATGAATACATAGATGATATTTTTCTTTAATATTTATTTTTTGACGTGTCACACAAAATGTCTCGTGGTGTCACCACTGACATGTGTGTCACAGGTTCGCCATGACTGACCTAAATCATGAGCCAATTTTATTGATTTTGTTCATCACTAGTGTTGAGTAGTTTGATATATACAAATCAATTGACGTTTGCAAAACAATTTTGAAAATTTCAATAAATTTAATAATAAAATAGTTTCAATAGAAACGCACTAATATTTGCGTAATCCAATTAAATTAAGGTTTAAACCGGTGCAGCGAATTGTACTTGATAGATGACCGGAATGTTTACAGCTAAGGACAAATAGTGAAACACTAGCAGAACGGAGACGATTTACTAGAGTAACAAGTCTTGTAATACACTAAATACACTTGGCTGAAGAATCTCGTGGTCGATTGCCAATTGCGTGGAAAACCTTCTTTATTGCATTAAATAAATTTGTTAGCAAATCTTGTTGACAGTTTAATAATGGGTAAAATGTAGCATTACACAAGAATTTATTCAAAACGAAAATTGCTATATATATTTTTTTTGCGACATTTTAATATTCTCAACGAACGAACTATTTCTTCGCGTTTGTTTGCATTTCGTTTCTTTTTTTTTTGCCAGCAACCTCCATTCCTCGCCACGGAATAATAATATGTTCGTCTCGTATTAAAATTACATTTTCCGAAGGCTTTCCGACGGAGATGTGTATTTGATAAAATATTCAAATAAAGAACTCCGACGAAGATGCATTGCTTATTGAATATTGATGTACGGCACAACACAGCGCGACCTTTTCCTTCCTTCCTTCACTCCATGCAAACAACAACAAAAAAATAAAAAGAAGAAATAAGTAGAAGTAAGCATCTTTGGCATTCAATCGAATACATTCACCTATACGCTAATTGCGTTATTAGACGTATATCCGTAACAATAGTTACTGTAATGATGAAACTGATTTACAACTATGGGAGACTTACGTACAGAATCCTGATTGGGATCATTCCGTCTAACAATATTAGTAGGTACGTAGTTTTCGTCGGTGTCGACTGGAGATGCTTAATTAAATGATTTCAAACTATCCGACGTAATCCAATATAAGCTAATGTGATTTACACATAGCTTAACATAACTTAATTCGGGACCCTGAATAAGCTGAAATCGATCAAGGAGGGAGCTCGGAGCGTTAAATAAAAGAAAGTTCTGGGGAGCCGTTTATTCCATTGTAACCTGCTCCAAAACGTGCTTGGACAATTTACTATCGACGAGGAGACATTTTTAGCGGATATATCGCGTGCCGGATCATAAAGTGCGCCGCCGACTATGTAATAGCTTCTGTATGCTATTACATAGGATAGTTCTCCAGATCCTTTAAAAGGAATAGTTTTCAGTTTGAGGATGATGTACAAAGAGGATCCAGTTTATATAACTTGTCTTCCATTGGATCTCACAGAATAGCATATTTTTCACTGAAATTTATTATCATATTTAACGACACACT